TACTAATTTTCTGTTTCTCTTTTGTTTTATTTTAATATATTTCATTTGAAAGATGATAAAGCTGAACAAAATAAATAGAATAAAGCCAATTGGAATAGAACAATAAAAGCAATATAGGACTTCAAAACAAGATAATAGGAAATCAACAATGGTTACTGTAATGTCTCTTGTTGTGTTCAAAATAACTGCCCACACCATGTGAAATAATAAAATCAGACAAAACAAGACAGAATAAAACAAAAACTAACGCAACAATGAAAACAATATGGTAATTCATAATAAAATAATAGGAAATCAACAATGATTATCATCTTCCATTTTAGAGCCTTCCTATGCTGTCACTTTCACAATATCCATTGTACATTTTGGGACCTATTTACTCCTTCAGTTTTTTATGGTATGGCCATAACAGAACACTCACTCATATGAGTTTGAAACATCTCTCCCGTAAGCATAATCTCAAGTTGCATCCATTTAAAGACCCTTGAAATTATCCTTCTTTATACTGAGTAACTTCCCATAAAAATACCATATCTTTCTTATCCATTCTGTGATTGATGGGCAGGACACCCCTGCCTTTTTTCTGGTTTTCTGTCTCATGGCACACTGTTTTCTCTCCTTTGACTTCTGCTTTGTGAATTTCGTTTTGAGTTAAAAGTTTTCTTGTACACAGTATATTCATGGATCTTGTTTCTAGATACACTCTCCCTGTTTTTCCTTTTATGGTGAACTGAGGCCATCTACATTAATGATTGTTGTAACTTGCATGCATTGGCTTGTCAGTGCCATGCTAACCTCCTGCTGTTGGTTCCCCACTTCTCCCCTCTATTCAATTATCTGCCCTGTTTGGCAGTCCCCTTCTGTTGCTTTTCCTGGAGCTGTGGTCATCTTTATTTTTCTCTAGAATATCCTGCAGCACTCTCTTGAGGTTGGTTTGGCGATCATGAATCCCTTCAGTTGTTATGTGTCATGGAAGTATCTTATTTTTCCCTTAATTTTGAAAGATAGTTTTGCAAGGTATATCAAAGCACTGGGTTGGAAGTTGTTTTCTTTCAGGATTTTCACACTTCATTTTACACTCTTCTTGACTTGATGGTTTGTGTTGAGAAGGTTACTTGATGAGTTTTCTTTTATAGATGATCTGTCTCTTTTATTTAACAGCCTTTCATATTGTGTTGTGAGGAATATCTGAGATCTTGATCATTACTCTTCTGGGTGTAGATTTATTTTGGTTATGGGTAGTTGTAGTTGTATATGCCTTGACTATCAGTATACCAAGTCCTTTCCCATGTTTGGGAAGTTTTCTGCTCTTACATCTGTAAATAGTCTTTTTATGTTATTCTTGTTGACTCTTTATTTGCTGATACCTATCATTCTTAAAATTTTTATTTGTTTTGTCTTGCAACCATTGTATTATTCTTTCCTGGTTCCCTGTTATTTTTAAGAGATCTTTCCTTTCATAATCACTACATACAATCCAGACTTCAAGGTCTGAAGGTCTTTCTTCAATCTCGTTTGCCAGTTTTTGCTGGAAGTTTTTAATTTCTTTGAGTCTGTTTTATGCATTATATTCCTTCCTATGTGTTCATTCAAATTTTCCTTCATTTTCCTATGCTACTCTTTTTTATTTGTGTCTTCTCGAGATATATTCAGCAATTCTTTCCCTTTGTGATTTCTTTTACCTAAGATATTATTTCTGATCTGATTACTTCTACAGCCTCAAGAATTTGTTTCTGTATTTCATTTGCTCTCCTTTCAGTGATTTCAGGTACGTGATTTGCATTGTCTTCTATGACTGTATCTCCTAGACTTGTTCTGTGTGGACTGTAGTTCTGGGATTGCCTTTTGCTACTTCACTTTGAAATTTTCCTGACTTCCTTCTGACAAGCTGGTTGTGGAGTCCAAAGCACTTCCCACATTGGCCCCCCCTCCATGGTGTAGAAGAATGGACCAGCCACCTGGGTTTCTCTAAACCCTAGTTCTTGGGGAGGCAGTGGGGCACGGCTGTGTAGGGATTCCAGACTCATGCAACTACACTGGGGCTTCCTTGATGGACATAGGTGTGTGGCTGTGTTGCTGCTGCTTCTCTTGGCCTTCTCAGGACTCCTCTAATGGTGGCAGAAACACAGGGTGTATCTGGCTGTTTCTCCCTGCTTGTTCTGGTTCCCTGAGGAAAGCAAGCGTCCCAGTGGCAGCAGGTGTGTAGAGGGGGTGTGGCTGTCTCCATTTCCTGTTTCTTAATCAAATGAAGCTGACATATCCATAGTAATGGTGACAGTATGTTTTTTTTTAATGATAGTGGTTTCTGTCTTTTAATGTATACTATATCAGGGCTGGGGATTTAGCTCAGCGGCATAAGCACCTTCCTTGCAAGTGCACCATTGTGAGTTCGATCCCTGCTACCTATTAAAAATTTTTTATAAAAAGCAAAAAAAAATTATATTATATCTTTCTTGTTTGCTGCATATTACTTATATAGAGTTGTGGGTTACATGTTGGCATGGGTTTACATGAGTATAACATATTTTCTCATTACCCTTCCCTTTTGTTCCTGAGTCTACTAAGCCCCACATCTTTCTCTAATAGTATTTCTTACAGTTTCAGATCATCTCTTTCTCTTTATAAAATTATTTTACATTCTTCTTGTGAGACAAAATGTGATATTTGATGTTGTGAGTTGTGTTTATTTCACCCAATCTGTGGGCTCTTGTTTCATTTTTATGTAAATTACAATGCACTTTTATACAGCATTTTCAATTTCTTCTTTAAATCTCTTGTAATTTTTCTTGTAGAGTTGTTGTCATTCCATATCTAGGCTTATTTCTAAAGTGTTTTTTCTTTTAATTTTTTGAGGTGATGGATACAAAATATATTATTTTGTTATTTTTCCCCAGAAAGTTTGTTATTGGGATTTAGAAAAGCTATTAATTCAGTTTGTGTTGTTTGCCTTACCACTTTGCTGAATTCTTAGCAGAAATAAACATCTTCAGTGCACTTTAAGGATCTTTTACTGAATGTCTATTGTCTATAGAGATAATTTGTTTTTACTCCTGTCCTATTTGCATACAATTGTTTTGCTTTTCTTGTCTAGTTGCTCTAAAATTTAAAGTCATACAATTTAAAAAACATAGCAATAGTGGACACCATTATCTATTTCCAAATATTTAGGAAAAATATTTCAGTTTTTACCCATTAAATACCACATGGGAAAGCAGTGAATTCAAATTTATTTAGATTTTTTTTCAGTCTGTCAAAGCATCAGATGAAGCCTACCCAGAGGCAGCAAGACCTTGTGCTTTCTACAGGATTACATAACACAACAGCAAAAAAAAACAACATATTGAGACACATGCACAAAGAAGAAAATATTCCTAACAATTCTAGTCTTCATTTTTCTACCTAGTCATATAGTATTTGTAACTTTTTACAAACCTATTATATATTCATTTTACTTTCAAAGAATAACAAAATTAGTCACAGTTTATTAATTGGTGTGACAATAAAAAGATCTGTGTCAATGTAATACTGCATGGATTGGTTGTTGAGCTTTCCTGTTGAACTAATAAACAGAAATAGAACATGATGATACAAAAAGATGATGCAAAGGAATCCCTTGCACCCTAGAATTTTCTTTTGTACCTCAGCTATGGAGAAATACTCCAGTCCTCTTGGAGGCTAGGATAAAAAATTATCAAGCTCAGCATAATCACTAAGTCTTTTCAGATTCATTTGGAGGAAGAAAAATCTTAAAATGTACAAGTAGAAATTTTAGATTCAAGTTTAACGGATATTTGCATATAACCTGGTAGAAACATTTCTCCTGGAAGTAAGTCATCTAAATCAACAGAGCATGAATTCATACAGTCAAAAAAGACTAATTTCACTAAAGAATCATTCATAATGAATGGTCCTAATTTTACATCTGGTGCTTAGTGTCTGGCTCTTGAATCATTTCAGTGAGTAAAATAGCAACATATTTGAGGCTGGCTCAAAAGATATATTACTTCCTGGAGAATCTTTCCCTCCACCACCAAAATATCACTACCTAGCTTTTATTGTATTTTGGTCTTAATAGGGGCACTCCACTCTTCTATCAAACTAACTTCTTCAGATGATAGAAACACAATACAGTTTACAAATTCAATTAGTAGATACAAATTCTCACTTTTCATTTGCTGTATTTTGATAAACAAGGCTGGTAAAATTATCAGGTGGCCAATAACCTTGATTAAATGGTTTGAGAATTGTAATAAAAAAGCATCTTTTGAGCGGAGCCAAATGCCATGTCTCCTCATAACATCTTGTCTCTTTGTTTTTCCAGTCTGACATATGTGCATTCACCAGTGAAGTTGTCCTGGCTAAAACACCTGGCACCAGCTTCTTTCCATTTGGTTTTCCTGGGCATCAACCTTCATCCCGTCGACTCCCCTAGGCTCCAGTACAGCGCCCTTTGCCAGCAGGAAGTAGTTAAAGAGAGAAATCTTTGCCCCTTTTCATAATAATAATCATAAGACGGGATATGAAAGGTTTTGGCCCAGACAGGACACTGTAGCCAGAAAGCCACAACCAGAAGCAGGAAGCCCCATCTTGCCCTGCCCCTAGGAAGTTACCTGTGATGCCATCTTCCCGCCCCTGGGAATTTACATATGGTGCCAAACCTAGGACCAATGGGCTACCTGTGTATCCCTAATGCCCGCCTTAGGTTCCACCCCAAACCGAGGCTATTTACAGGCCCCCACGCCACGTGTCCGCCGGAGAGATCACCGGATGCCAGCGGTGGGGGTGCCGGTCATCTCTCTCTGTGTTCTCGGAATAAAGGCCACTTTTTATTTTATATTTCTCATCTTTTGTTAATATTTTTCATCTTTTGGAAATAACTCTATCATTTGGTGCCGTGACTCGATCGGCAGGCAACTGACTCTTGGGCCACATACCCAAAGTCTCCTAGCCGATAACCAGATAACATCCTGGATTAATTCCGAGCTTTTTCCTCTCCCGAGATGTTCCTGTCGCCAGCCGCCTGCACTCCGCATCGGCCAGACTGATTTCAGGTGAGCACTCCCCGGGGAACTTTTCGCACTGGGCAGCCCCAGTGGAATGTTCTCCCCATCTGCGTGGGTCTGTGCATTTTCACATCCTTAGGACCGCCCAGGGCAGGGTTCTTTCTGGGCAAACCTGTGCCCACAAAATCTCTCACGTTCTTTGGGTTCGGATAGCCCAAAGCAGAGATTTTTGGGACCGCCCACACTGAAAGAAGAATGCCTCACTTCCCTTAAAGCCTTACGCTTTCATGGGCAAAACTGTTACTGACCCCACGTAGACTCCATTCGTAAATCTCTCAGTGACGACTGGAGTTTATGAGTTTTTGGAACCGTACCCACCGCGTGGTACCACAAATAAGTGACGACTTTTTCTGGACTTCCGGTTTTTTTTTCTGAATCAGTTATGGGGAACGTATTTGGGTAAAATTTTTCATTCGTGAAAATGTAGGTTTACATAATTTATAACTAAATATGTCAATGGCAAATTAAACATTTTTAATAGTCATATTTAGTATCTAAAGTAGTTGGGGATGGGGATTGAGTTCAGTAATACAAGGAGCTGCCTGGAGAGTACAAGGTCATGAGTTCAATCCCTCATACAAAAAGAAAAATTCACAGTTGTCAATGATGCAGTGCTGTGAGCACATTTATTGAAACTTATGCTTGTTAATTAAGAGGCTCAATATTTCTTTTTTGGTCTATGAAATACCTGTAGATAACATGGCAATTACAGTGAATGATGTACTGTCCCCTATAGGATTGCTATTTTCTGAGTTGTTTTTAGTTTTTGTTTTCCTACAAATTTGAAAGTAGAAAATGTTGGCTGATGCTAGCTAGAAAAAACTGTGGTAAACATTTTTTTCAATTTAATGATATATTTCCCTATATCCATTAAGAACATTTATTTGCTACAATTACTCCAAATCAAATTCATAAACAATTCTTAAAGTTACAGGCAGCTGAGTTAGTTAAAATACATGCAGCCATACCATGATAAAGTGGAATGCAATTACTGACCTTCTATGTCTGGGATGAGTTTGGGTTCTCTAAAGTGCAAGAATGAATTTTAGAAACAACAGAGTTGAAGAGCAGAATATATTTATTGAGGGAGAGAAAGTGAAAGTATTTTGCTCTAAATAGGATATTTTGGGAGTGGGAGGTGGAACCAGGGAACTTTTTCCTTGAAGTCACTTTCCTTTTCCCTATTCAACTTACCTGTGGCCAGAAAAGAATCTCAATCAGCTACTTGCATATCAGCAATGCCAACTTTAACCACCACCCAACTCAAAAACTATATGTGCCACCCACACATTTCCAGAAGAAAAAGCCAGACCGCCAGTTGTCATGGGATTCTCTCCATATTCTTAGAATAAAGGCCATTTTGACTTTATATTCTCTTCTTTACTACACCAAAAATCCTATCAGAAAGCTTCTGTCTGAGAGAAACAGGAAAAATTCTGAGCTGGTAGCAAAGGACTCTGTCTTTTCTTGGGACTTTATAGAATAAAATCATGTTGTGAAAATGGTTTAAAGTGGGTTAGATTACTGAGATTACTGAGGAGGTAGCTTAGCACAATAGAGAAGCTGAATATAAGAATGTAAAAGTGGCCTTTTATTTAAAAAATGTGGAGACAAGCCCACAGCCACTAAGGGATTGGCTTTTATTTTTATCTGACTGACTATGGGGTTATGGGGTATATGTGACTTTTGACTGGATGTGGTGCTTGGAGGGGACATTGAAGTCATGCTAGGAGCTAATGGGAATTTTATTTAGGCCCCTGGGAAAGAAAGAGGATGTTGTAATCAAGGAGAAAAGAGGAAGTGGCCATATGAGTAAGCATCCCTGAGTTCACCTTCTTCCACCTTGAACTACCGCCATGAGGTCCTGTAATTTTTCTAGGGCAAAACTCTTTCAAGTACATCCTTTGGTTTCAATGAAGTAATCAAAACAAAGAATTTTTGCTATCTGTCTTCCTCCATGGCTGGTGATAAGCCATTCATAAGAAATATTTTGATTCAATTCCTTAATGCATTGTTGATAATATAACCAAAATTACAGATCAGTTCATTTTCAGAAAAAGAAGCAGCACTTAAAGGCAGGGATAAAGTCCTTCAATGCAAGTATCCCTGGCAAGGTGAGATCAACATTGTGTAATATAAACTACAACTGATTTCTCTGACTTCCAGAAAGAGAAAAGTTTATACTGATATTGCTCTAGCAAAATCAATCTCCTGGTCTGCTATATCTGATATGAGGCTTTTATTCTGTAAAGTCAAAGACTTAATTTTAGGAACAACAGAAATTAACAGAAGAATATACTTATTGAGAGAAAGAAAGCTGCCTGAGACAGAGAAGTGGTCCTGAGCAGGTAGCCAAACACTGTCCTTTCTACGGATTTTTATAGAGTAAAATCATGTGGTGAAATGAGTTTAAGGAGGGGAAAACTAGGAACTCACAATGCAGATGGGCATAAATGGGACAGAGCTATGGTAGCCAATAAGATTATAAGTTCAGTTAAAGTTGATTAAGTTGGGAACAAAGAGGGAGGGGAGTCACATAGAAAGCAGGCATTCTTAGGCATCAGTGACTTCCCTTAGGGGTTTGGGAGGGTGACTACTGAGGTCATCAGGATGACAGGAACTACCTAGAATGTCAGTCTTTAAAAGGATACATTTCTTTGAATGGTGACTCCTGACTTCCTCAGAGTGCTAGGGAACTATTTAGAATATCCATCCTTAGGATATGGATGAATTTGCTTGTCATTTGTCTTGAGCCTTGGCCCATAGATTGAGGTGTCCGTCTTCTCCATAGTTGCAAGCTATCTGGTCTCCTGCATGGGCTCCTTGGGGGACCTAGCCCTGTCTCCTGCCAATACTATTTAAATAACTCAGATCCCTGTAACAGCACTATTTGGAAAATTGATTACAGATGTCTTGTGCTCTATGTGAATGATCTGGGGATGGCAATGTGCAATGTATATACCAGTGTTGCCCCCTGATTAACATGTTTTGAAGTTTAATTTTAGTTGATGTGTTCTTTTTTCCTTGAAATCAAATGGATTTGAAAATTAAAAGCCTGAGGTAAAGCTCTTCAGTACAAACACTCCTCTGTCGAGCTGAGTTCACCACTGTAGAAGAATGGCAGCTCCAGAAGTCTCTGCACTACAGTCTATCATTTGGGATCCTCTCTTGCAGGGAGGGGCTCCTTTCCCTGTTTATTCTTGACTCAGAAGGAGGGCAGTAGAGCAAGAGTCAATCAGTGATGAAGGGGCAGGCTATATGAACTGTCCAATCAGATGGGCCATTGCTGGCTGTGACTTCTGTCTCTTCTGATGTCTCATCATGATTTACCTGTTCTGAGTAATATACTGGTATCAAAATGCTTGCTGGATCTCATTTAGTACTTTTGATGTCCTTTGGCCTGATTAGCAAAGAACCTGAGAGATCCTGGAGCCATGGAATGGTGAGGTTGTGGATGGGAGCCCAGAAATATGGTGCATTGGGCGAAACCAGTTACAAGTGTTTAGGAGTCGTTCCGATGTCTGGGTCCTCAGGTATTTAGTTAGCTTCAGCTCCTGATGTCCTCCAGCATTGCCCATGGGTCATTCACTGTCCCTTTTGCCTCTTGCTGTTGGCAAGGGTGATTTGGGGTCCCCAGAACCCTGGCTCCACTATGACAGCAGCAGACACAAGTGTCATCTTTGAAATTCACTGCTGGCCTGGTAACTCCACAATCTTAGGCATTGGAAGGAGCTTGGGAAGACCCTGACTATGATGCTTTTTATAGCTTGTAGAGCAGTAATGAGCTACGTCTCTGCTCTCTTTCCTCAGAGTAGCTGATCTGGAATGTCCAAAGTTCATTAATGCCTGTAATGCAGGGCCTCATAGCCAAAATGGATCAAATTAAACTTGGGCTTTTTTGTATTTATAGTGATCTGCTAAATTTATAGTATGTTCTCATATTTCCATCCTCATGACAGGTAGTGGCAAAGGTCCTGAGAATTCAGAGATGTGTAGTAGTGTGCCTCAGTGGAAAAAGGCTTCCCAAACAACTGGTGAACTCATGTGTATTATACAGATCAGTGCAAAATATTTTCTGAACATACTTAATTATTTAGGTGGCACCCTTGCTCACAGACTAGATTTGTGAGAACAGCAATAGAGTTTTGAAGTCTGAGAAAAATGAAGCAATTTTGAAAGTGTTATCAAGGACGGGGTAAAAATTTGTGAAGGGCAAATTCTAGAAAGGGCTACCTGTTAAATTCTCATCAAAAAATGCCAAAATTTAGGAATTTTCATGGACATATACACATGATATCCTTCTGAATGGAAAGGAATAGGGGTGTCATCTCTGAATTAAGAGCTGATTTAGTAGCTTGGTTGTTCATAGACAGTTTAAATATGGAAATGCTCTACAATGGAATTTACTAAGTGGTGTAAAGGAAAAGCTCTAAAGAGAAATTTTGCAGTGATATCAATAGTTTGGCGTGAAGGGTTTCCTGCTGAGGATGGATCAGAGGAGTATGGAAAGGATGTGCAAGTGACTGACAGGATGCAGGAAGCCAATAGCAGGACATACAAGAGAGAGGGTCTTCACTGAAATTCAGGTAGTTCTTAGTGTAAGTATGAAGTTAAAGTTGGGTTCTGATCGCTTCCTTGAGGTGACCAACACTAGCTCTGGCAACAGTCAGTATTTCAGATCCCTGTCAACCCATGTATTTTTTGTTCCATACCTGAGATCTAATTTGGATTATCTCTAATTATGCCCCAGTGTCATGAAGGTAAAATTTGGATTTTTTTTTGTACCAAGGATTGAACTCATGACCTATGCTTTCCAGGAAGGTGGTCATGCCACTGAGCTAAATACCCAACTATGAAAGTGTTTTCTGTGTAGTATGGAAGATATCCACATTGTTTCTCCGAAGGTGTTGAACATTATTGGCATTTTTCGGTATTATATGGCTATAATTTTAAAAAACAAACCAAAGGTGTCTTATGTAGTCTGTTTTCAAGTTTCACTTTGTGTGTGGGGTGTCTCAGTCAGGGTTTCTCTATTTTAGACAGCTCTGTAACTTAGGATAGCCCCAAATTCAAGGAAGAACTCCTCCACCAGCCTCCCAAGATATATTTCTTATATCTGAATTGAAAGTGATCGCTTGGTGACAGTGAGCTATAAATTACAGCATGGGCCTGGTTCCATTTTATATACTTATTTTTTAAAAACAGTGTTTTCCACTGACATTTAAGTTATTAGTTTTGTACCATATTGGATGTTATTTATGTTTTGTTCTATGAAACCAAATGCATGTTTCAAAATGCTGCTGAAGTATATTAAGAACAAAGTACTCACTGGCCTAAATGAGATTTGAAGAGACATTATCTGTAGCCTATCAAAGTGATTCATGAGATTTTTTTTCTTTTTTTAAATTTTGAAAGTGGTAAAGTACAACAGAATAAGGCCAACTAAGATCATACAGTGAAATTGGTACACAACTTCACAACAGGTTACTGGGATAACAGTAATAGGTATCACAGCATAATTTATTATCTTTATAATAGTTGTTCTTTCAAACACGTATATCAAAATGAGATGAAATACAGAACATTATAGTAATTATCAAAACAGAATATTGAATAGAGAAATACCATTAATCAGAATAGAGCAAAACAGTAATAAAAATATTTGCCTTCAAAGAGATAGTAGAAGGAAGTCCCCCTTATTTGTTATGGTCTGCTTCCCAGGAGACGCTCAGATTTCTGGTTCCCATTTGATAACGGGGGGGGGGTGACAGGAGGAGAGGGTTAGGGAAGAGGGATATTTGATTTTAGGCCATGCATCAGTAGGTTCACTATTGCTTAGTAGGGAGACAGGCTGCTTGTTTGGTTTCACAGCGTCCTAAGTTCCCACATGGCACGGATCTCAGGAGCTTCTGCTGGTTCTCCCCCTGGAAGGGCCGCCTTCTGCCAGACTGCCACCACTTATCAGGGAGAAGTGGTTCTTGCTTCCCTTCCAAGTGTCCTAGATTCCAGCATGACATGGATCTCAGGAGCTGCTGCTTGTTTGCCCCCTGGATGAGCCACAGTCTGCCACATTGCCACCACTTATCAGGGAAGGGAGGTGCTTGCTTGGCTTCCCAGTTGATTGATGGGCTATTTATCTGCCTCTGTGCTTTGTGGATGCTGGTCCGACAGGCTTCTCACTGTGAGCTCTGCTTTAGAGACAGTACACAGGGAATCTTGCAGTGACTCAGCACAAGAATCAGTGCTCCTATTTCACTCTTACATTAGCAATGAGTTGCAATCTATCATCAAATTTGCTGTCTTCAAAAATGTGTATATACACAAAATTAATGACCAAAACATGGATTTAAATTTGACAAAATCAGTCTTCATTCAGCTGTTTTGTTTGGTTTTATTAGTTTTGCTCTGTTTTATTGAGACAAGCTTTCTGTATGTATATCAGCTGGATTTGAACACCCTATGGAGCCTAAAATTGCCCTGAACTCACCAAAGCCATCCTGTCTTGGCCTTTTGAGTGCTGGGATTATAGATATGCACCACCACACTTTGCTTTTGATTCAGATTTGTAGGAGAGAATTTAAGATATCACAAACCTGGTGTCTCAACCTTCGTGTGAGAACTATTTGTATGATCCTTTAGGAGGTGGTGACCTTTGAGGATGTGGTCGTGAACTTCAGCAATGAGGAGTGGCATTTGCTGAGTCCATCCCAAAAGAACCTCTACAGAGATGTGATGGGCGAAACCTTTAGGAACATGACTGCAATTGGTAAGGACAAAATACTTTTGTCACTCATGCTGTCAGAATGTTGTATGTCGCTCATCAGTGCTGTTTCATTAAAAACAATGTGAAAATATTTTTAAAAATAGCACAGACCTGGACACATTATATCATAACTCTAAACAAAATCTATTAATTTGTATGTATTATTCTACTGAGTGCTGGTATTTCTATGTCTACAATTCAGGAGGACTTGGAGATATCCAGGAAGCTGAAAAAGAATGCAAAATTTACTGGAGATACTTAAGGTAATTCGTACTCACAAGGAGAAGGAATGTTCCTGAGTAATTAGTGAGTCAGCAGAAAAATGACTGCCAAAGAAATGAGGCACCATTCAATTTATTGTCAGTAATATTCTACGAAGACGTATAAGCTAGGGTATGTATAATAAGTGAATTAAATCATGAAAATGTATGACATCGCATATAGATGTGTACGAAAGGCATACACTTTGAGTTATGACATTCTCCCTTCAGTTTTTCTACCCATATATACATGTGAATACAACACATTCATTATCTAAAATTTTCTACGATTGCAATAATTTGAAATAAAACGGAGTGCTTGTGTTTGCAAGCCATGCTCTAAAGAATCAGCCATTCTGAGTAAAATGCTTAGAAGGCTGGTGGAATGTTAAGTGCACTCATTCTGAATATCAGTGTGCAGTTGTCTCTAGAAATTGATCTCCTCATTCTTGTCCTGGATATATTTTTAAAAATTCAAAGTCCACATAAAATATTGATACATGCTTACTCATATACAAAGCAGATCAAGTTATAATATATCAGGCCTTGAAGAAGCTTAGCTATCTATCACTGGATTTGTGGAGAAAGAAAATGTTAATAGACCCCCTGTGGTTGTGCATTCTTGTAAATCCAGCACACTAGGAATCAAATTTTGCAGAATGGCAAATTCAAGTTCAAACTTCACAGCTTAATGATCAGCGAAAATCTCTTAAAACAGATTTAAAAAGCTATAGATTTTATGCTAATAGCTGTTGTTCATTCCCAGCACGGAAAAGAAAAAAATGTGTTATATAATGTCAAAAAATAAATAATATAATGTCACTTGCCATAAGAAATAGGTGGTTCTTTCCCCCATCAATTCGGTGAAATAGCTCAGCTATAAAACCTAAAATGTCACAGGGTTCCTTTTAGATGAGAAACCAAAATATAAATTGTGGAATGAAATGAAAGAGTTAATAGAGAAAAGTAAGACTGACCATATGGAAAAGGGAACTACAGGTTAAGGACAGAAGGGAGATTGTGATGGGGAAACATATCAGAATGATCTGTATGTGATACACATATGTACCCATGCCCAAAGTGAAGCTAAAGATTCTGCATTTCAAAAGGTACCAAATTTTAAGATTTCCAAATGTGTACCAGTCTTTTGGGAATGGTTGTTTTTAACATGTCTTACAAGGCCATTCTGTTACTTCATGGTCAGAATTTCTTAGCAGGCATTAGAAACAGAACGTGACATTAATTTAGTCATTAAACTGAGACCAATTTCACTGTGAATGTTTGTTTTTCTATTTAATGTAAGGAAAGACTAAAAAAAAAAACAAAATAAGTAGAAATGATACCACTTTCAAAGTGAAAATAAACAGTAAGAAATCTAAAGACAATGATTACATATGCTGCTCATAGAAATAGTTAATGAAACACAAAAGTGAAACATATGAAGTGGGGATTCAAACAGCGAGACTGCAAACAGTTTTGTTCAACTCTTCAATAAAAACTTTGTAATATGGTTATCAATCCTATATGTGATTTTTTTTTTACAGAAATGAAAAGCTCAGGAAATCCTATGGACATACATCTTGGAATTAGTGTAAAGAAGTATTCCCTTGTACTGCAGAAGGTAATGTGAATGTGAAAGAAGCAGAAACACACCACAATGTTCAGATCCATGAAACATATTGCAGTGGAGAGAAACCCTATGTATGTCAGCAATGTGGAAAAGGGTTCACAAAATCTGAACATTGTAAGCAACATGAAAGAATTCACACTGGAGAGAAACCATATGTATGTAAGCAATGTGGGAAAGGTTTTACCATCTCTGGACATTGTAAGGAACATGAAAGAATTCACACTGGAGTGAAACCATATGTATGTAAGCAGTGTGGGAAAGGTTTTACCCAACATGGACATTGTAAGCAACAGGAAAGTTCACACTCAAGATAAAACCAGTGTATATAAGCATCATGAGAATTTTTTTAGCACAAGTACATATTGCATAATGCATGACAAACTTCACACTGGGCAGAAAACTTATATATGTAAGGAATGTGGGAAAGGTTTCAGCAGAAATGCTCATTGTCCAATACATGAAAAAATTTACACTGTTGAGAAACCCTGTTTATGCAAAGAATGTGGGAAAGCTTTCACCACACATGGATTTTGTAAAATACATCAATGACTCCACACTGGTGAGAAACTCTATGCAGATAACAATGTGGCAAATCTTTTACCACATACAGTCATTGCAAAACACATGAAAGAATTCACACTGGGAAGAACCACTGGCTACACAAGCAAGTGGAGACACTTTCAGCAGCCAGATTGTAAGTGAAATATATGAAGAAACTCACACAAGAGATAAATCCTATGTGTTATGGGAATACTCTCAGCACACATGATCATTGTTACATATCTGAAAGAGCTCACTGGATCCTACGTGTATTAACAGTGTGAGAAATACAGCAATCCATGTTTGTTGTTAAATACATAGAAAAAGAAGCACTCTTCAGACAATTTTGATGTAAGTTTACTTTAAAAATTCCAAGTAGACCTGAAGAAATAATCAATACAGAAGTTTGATGTCAATCTTTTTTCACAAATTTTCCAGAAATGACAAATCTGATGTGGAGCTCTACTCAAGTACACATTTTGTATGGTTTTCAGTTAATCACTTATACCTCTTTAGATTTTTTAGTGTGTCTTTGTGCTTCAACATGGCATCTTGTAATTAAACATGGTAATCTGAAATGGGCTTTTCACTTTCAAGTATGGATAGTGTCTATGTACTTAATATTTTGTCTTTAAAACTTAATTTTCATATTTTTGTTGAATTATTTTTATTTGAAGAAAAAAACCAAAAAGTGTAGAAATAATACAGAATTTCTGAAAAATAAACAATAAAAAATCACTAGTTGATTAGTTACATATTGTCATCTTAGAAGTAATTGTTCAAGTTACAAAATTAAAGAATACAAAGAGATATTCAAATAATGACACTGCGAACAGATTACCTCAGTGATCCAACAAAAACTTATTAATATGCTTATATGTTCTACAAACTTGTTTTTTATCTTAAAGATGGTAAGATTAAACATGACAAAACAAAACAGAACAGTTCATAAGGAAACAAGCTAAGGAAACACAAGTTTCAAAGCAGGTCCCCTGAGATGTTCATTTTCTATCTTACTGTCTTTAGTTTTGTTCAAAATAGTTGTTCGCAGCTTCACAAGCATTGAATATACTGAACATTATAGAGCCAATCAAATAATTACAGGATGATGCAGGATTTTTTGATCTTCAAGACTGATTTTGGGGAAGTTGATAATGATTACCATAATGTGTCTCATTCTCTTCATAGTCTATGTCTTTATTTTTATGTATGCTGAAACTGAACATAAGAGACTAAACTAATATCACTCTGAACAGTGAATAATAGTATCCTGAGAAGGAGAAAGGCGATGAATTGCCTAAAAAAAGAAGGCAGAGGATATTGTTAAAAGTGTATCAGGATTTAAAAGCTACAGTAGTTCTGTTGCTCTGTTTAGTTTGATTATATTTTGTTCTGGTCTGTCTACTCATATTAGATTTGAGGACACAGCGAGGTAACCCAAAAATAGCAGGTTATACCATGATGGTAACTGTCCTTAATTTCCTATTAACTAAAACTGAAACCCTGTATTACTTACATTGTCTTACTATGACTGATCTTATTGGAAGCTGGTTTGTTTGAATGTTATTTGGCCTTGACTGATTTTATTCACATTTGGTATGCTTGCTGGTATCAAGTCCAAGAGTAGAGGCCACTACTCTAAAGTTGACAAGATGTGAAAGATATATACTGGGGGGCTGGGGATTTAGCTCAGTGGCTTAAGCACCTGCCTGGCAAGTGTGAGGTAATCAGTTTGATCCCCAGTACCAAAAAAAAAATAAAAGATATAAATTCCAGGTTTAATTTTTTTATTTGAAGAGAAAAAAAGAACATAAAAAAAAAAGCAGTAAAGGGTACAAATCATACAGAATTTCAAGGAAAAAATACAGTAAGAAATCACTAGTTAATAGGTTACATATTGTCTTCTTAGAAAGTTGTCCAAATTATAAAATTAAAGCATATAAAGTGAACATTCCTATAGCGAGATTGCAGACAGTTCCGTTCAATGATCCAACAAAGCTCAGTAATATGGTTTTCCTCCCTACACACTCAAACAGGAACTTACATCTCTTAGTCCACCTTCCTTTCCTCTCTTATTCACAATAACAATTACACTTTTTGGTTTTTTTTACTCCCATAGTTCTTATTACTCTTTTTGAAGAGAATAAAACCTCAAGTGAGTTACCAAAACAGAGTTGGTTAAAACATAAGAATGGGCATAGTACTTGATGCAAAAATAGAATATCAGGTGATCAAAAATGGTTACCATTGTGCCTCTTGCTATTTTTAAAAAGAGTTGCTATATCATCAGGTATAATAGAGTTGATCAAAACAGTACAGAATAAGAACAATAAAATCTACACTGGAGATCTTACAGGATTTAAAAAGAGGATAATAGTGAAACCATAATGGGCATCATAGTAAATCTTATTGCCTACAAAGTGGTTGCCTATATCCTCAAACTTGATAATATCAAACAAAATAGAATATAGTAAAATCAGGCAGAACAAGATGGGGAGAGCAATACTGAGATTAAAATCAGGTTAATAGGAAAACAAAAAAGTTACTATAATATATCCCATTACCTTTTAATTTAGTTTTCCTTTAATTGAAAAAAAAAATAAGAAAAAATAGAATAATTTTTTTTAAAAAGGGTGGAGATCGAGATAAAAGAGACATTGTAATAGAACAACACAGGTCAGAACTGAACAATTAAAGCATCATTTTGTTTCACCACCAGATAATCTAACATAATATTAGTCACCATAGTGTCTCTTTCCTTGCATTGTTTGAGTATAACTTCGTATACTATAGAATCAGTCATATCAAGACAGTGAGAATCCATTCAAGAGAATGAAAGAATTACAGAGTATTTAGAGTCAGTTAA